TGCAACCTTACAACAATTCTCAACTAATTCTAACCTACTCGTCAATAATGCCAATTTACAGTGAATGAATATTTTATCTACATGAAATGATCACATCATGTAATGAAATAACCCTGGTCGTTCTTAAAAAAAGCCCTGGACGCTGAATCTGGGCTAAGAATGCTGAAATAAGGCTGATAAGCAGACACAGCAGGTTCCGAGCTACTTCAGAAAATGCCCAGAAGATGAACAGGGGCTAAATTAGTGCCATTCATGTTGAAAATTAGAATTAGTTGAGAAATGTTCTAAGGTTGCACCTTAAGGCGTTTCTACGGTATTAGAAATTAATCCTATTAGTCACTTTTATTCAGGATTTGCTATAAAACAGTCATCTTCAGCTTATAAGACAGTAAATAAGGCACAGATCGCTTTAATTTCTAACTCACTTCCAAGCTGCTTTCATCACAAAAAATCAACCAATGTCTGTGTTAAACTGTCGCTCAGACATGTAGATTCTTGATTGTGCTGATAAAACGAATAAGATGGGGTAAGTGGCAGTACAAGGAGGTATAACCTCAACCAATATCAACCAGTCCGATTCAATCAATCCAGTGGAATCCTCGATCATTTAAGCTAGCTGTTATTGATAAATCTGGTGGATCTGTTTACCTTCAACAATTATTGTTTGGCAAAAATCATGACTATGGAAAGACAACTTCTGATATACTGACGTTGAGTTTACAATCTGAAAATTGTACAGCCACGTGTATCGGTTTCCCTAGAAGTTCAGGCAGATATCTAGCTGTTGGCATTAATACTGGTTTGATAATTGTTTATAATTGTGGAAATAAGCAAATAACACTACGATGTCAATTACGCTATACTAATCTACATCCATTTAATATATTACCTAATGAATTACAACCCAAGTGTATTAGTTGGGTGTTAAATGATCGTATTATTGCTGCTGGATATAATAATGGCTCTATTGTATTATTCTTAGCAGCTTCGGATAAAACTAGTACTAATGGTCGATGTGAAAACATCGTATTACCTTTCCCTTGTCAATATTCACAGGTCAAAGGTTGTGTTACTTCCCTACCTAAATGTTGTATGTTATAAACTTCTAAATTTAATGGCCATCTCATATGCTGTGGTTAATCTAATGGTTCTATAATCTTATGGAATATACAATAGCCAGTTACTGGTGATACAAACAATTACATTTTAAATTATTGGGATGTTAAATCTTTAGCTACAAGTATGAATGAAATCAGTTTAATAACAATAATAATATTAACAGCTTTATTCCAAACGGTATTTGTGGTACAGGTATGGAATTTTCAGCATGCATTACAATATATTGCATCTAATTACCTCATAAATTTTATAAGACTTTTACAATCAAAAAAGTAAATAAATAAAGGGAAAAAACCAATGCCAAAAGAACAAAGATAAGTAAAAATTATGAAAAATACAGCTTAGAGTTCACATTTCAAACAATGCACCACAGGATATGAAATATAAAGTTGATGATTCAAAGTTATTCAAAGATTATTATGAAGGTTGTATACGCATTGCATTTTCATCGAATGATGATCAATTATTGTATAGTGCAGGATTACCAGATTTAAATTTGCCTGTGTGGTATATACTGTCGACATCAGGTCAACAGAAACAACAACAACAACAAAAACCTGTCACATGTTTATCACCAGTGGATGAACAACACGGTTATCTAAGTATTGATGTCGCTTCAAGAACGCATATTCTTGCAACTGGTTTAGTAAATGGTGAAGTATGGTTATATAATGTACAGAATATGTCTACACCAATTCATTGTATCTCTATTGGATCAGGTAATCATTCTATTCGTCTACTTTCATTCTCATCCACTTTACGAGCTGATCTAAATGACGTAGGCTTTATTAATAATAATAATAATAATACATTATGCAATTTATCAACTTCTCAAATAACCAATAAAAATTCTTACAGTACATCAATGAATAGTACTCACCTAACATGTAGTAATAGCCAAATTCGTCAACCTTTAAGCGAATTAACTAATACAATACAACAAAAACAACGGGAAAAACAGAACAGTCTAAATCACTAACAAGATGGTCAGTAATGCCGCCTGTTCTCGTGTTGTTCATCCACTGGTGATAAACATGTGACAGGTTTTTGTTGTAATATATACGATACACGCAAATTTAAATCTGGTAATCCTGCACTATACAATAATTGATCATCATTCGATGAAAATGCAATGCGTATACAACTTTCATAATAATCTTTGAATAACTTTGAATCATCAACTTTATATTTCATATCCTGTGGTGCATTGTTTGAAATGTAAACTCTAAGCTGTATTTTTCATAATTTTTACTTATCTTTGTTCTTTTGGCATTGGTTTTTTCCCTTTATTTATTTACTTTTTTGATTGTAAAAGTCTTATAAAATTTATGAGGTAATTAGATGCAATATATTGTAATGCATGCTGAAAATTCCATACCTGTACCACAAATACCGTTTGGAATAAAGCTGTTAATATTATTATTGTTATTAAACTGATTTCATTCATACTTGTAGCTAAAGATTTAACATCCCAATAATTTAAAATGTAATTGTTTGTATCACCAGTAACTGGCTATTGTATATTCCATAAGATTATAGAACCATTAGATTAACCACAGCATATGAGATGGCCATTAAATTTAGAAGTTTATAACATACAACATTTAGGTAGGGAAGTAACACAACCTTTGACCTGTGAATATTGACAAGGGAAAGGTAATACGATGTTTTCACATCGACCATTAGTACTAGTTTTATCCGAAGCTGCTAAGAATAATACAATAGAGCCATTATTATATCCAGCAGCAATAATACGATCATTTAACACCCAACTAATACACTTGGGTTGTAATTCATTAGGTAATATATTAAATGGATGTAGATTAGTATAGCGTAATTGACATCGTAGTGTTATTTGCACAATTATAAACATTTATCAAACCAGTATTAATGCCAACAGCTAGATATCTGCCTGAACTTCTAGGGAAACCGATACACGTGGCTGTACAATTTTCAGATTGTAAACTCAACGTCAGTATATCAGAAGTTGTCTTTCCATAGTCATGATTTTTGCCAAACAATAATTGTTGAAGGTAAACAGATCCACCAGATTTATCAATAACAGCTAGCTTAAATGATCGAGGATTCCACTGGATTGATTGAATCGGACTGGTTGATATTGGTTGAGGTTATACCTCCTTGTACTGCCACTTACCCCATCTTATTCGTTTTATCAGCACAATCAAGAATCTACATGTCTGAGCGACAGTTTAACACAGACATTGGTTGATTTTTTGTGATGAAAGCAGCTTGGAAGTGAGTTAGAAATTAAAGCGATCTGTGCCTTATTTACTGTCTTATAAGCTGAAGATGACTGTTTTATAGCAAATCCTGAATAATAGTGACTAATAGGATTAATTTCTAATACCGTAGAAACGCCTTAAGGTGCAACCTTACAACAATTCTCAACTAATTCTAACCTACTCGTCAATAATGCCAATTTACAGTGAATGAATATTTTATCTACATGAAATGATCACATCATGTAATGAAATAACCCTGGTCGTTCTTAAAAAAAGCCCTGGACGCTGAATCTGGGCTAAGAATGCTGAAATAAGGCTGATAAGCAGACACAGCAGGTTCCGAGCTACTTCAGAAAATGCCCAGAAGATGAACAGGGGCTAAATTAGTGCCATTCATGTTGAAAATTAGAATTAGTTGAGAAATGTTCTAAGGTTGCACCTTAAGGCGTTTCTACGGTATTAGAAATTAATCCTATTAGTCACTTTTATTCAGGATTTGCTATAAAACAGTCATCTTCAGCTTATAAGACAGTAAATAAGGCACAGATCGCTTTAATTTCTAACTCACTTCCAAGCTGCTTTCATCACAAAAAATCAACCAATGTCTGTGTTAAACTGTCGCTCAGACATGTAGATTCTTGATTGTGCTGATAAAACGAATAAGATGGGGTAAGTGGCAGTACAAGGAGGTATAACCTCAACCAATATCAACCAGTCCGATTCAATCAATCCAGTGGAATCCTCGATCATTTAAGCTAGCTGTTATTGATAAATCTGGTGGATCTGTTTACCTTCAACAATTATTGTTTGGCAAAAATCATGACTATGGAAAGACAACTTCTGATATACTGACGTTGAGTTTACAATCTGAAAATTGTACAGCCACGTGTATCGGTTTCCCTAGAAGTTCAGGCAGATATCTAGCTGTTGGCATTAATACTGGTTTGATAATTGTTTATAATTGTGGAAATAAGCAAATAACACTACGATGTCAATTACGCTATACTAATCTACATCCATTTAATATATTACCTAATGAATTACAACCCAAGTGTATTAGTTGGGTGTTAAATGATCGTATTATTGCTGCTGGATATAATAATGGCTCTATTGTATTATTCTTAGCAGCTTCGGATAAAACTAGTACTAATGGTCGATGTGAAAACATCGTATTACCTTTCCCTTGTCAATATTCACAGGTCAAAGGTTGTGTTACTTCCCTACCTAAATGTTGTATGTTATAAACTTCTAAATTTAATGGCCATCTCATATGCTGTGGTTAATCTAATGGTTCTATAATCTTATGGAATATACAATAGCCAGTTACTGGTGATACAAACAATTACATTTTAAATTATTGGGATGTTAAATCTTTAGCTACAAGTATGAATGAAATCAGTTTAATAACAATAATAATATTAACAGCTTTATTCCAAACGGTATTTGTGGTACAGGTATGGAATTTTCAGCATGCATTACAATATATTGCATCTAATTACCTCATAAATTTTATAAGACTTTTACAATCAAAAAAGTAAATAAATAAAGGGAAAAAACCAATGCCAAAAGAACAAAGATAAGTAAAAATTATGAAAAATACAGCTTAGAGTTCACATTTCAAACAATGCACCACAGGATATGAAATATAAAGTTGATGATTCAAAGTTATTCAAAGATTATTATGAAGGTTGTATACGCATTGCATTTTCATCGAATGATGATCAATTATTGTATAGTGCAGGATTACCAGATTTAAATTTGCCTGTGTGGTATATACTGTCGACATCAGGTCAACAGAAACAACAACAACAACAACAAAAACCTGTCACATGTTTATCACCAGTGGATGAACAACACGGTTATCTAAGTATTGATGTCGCTTCAAGAACGCATATTCTTGCAACTGGTTTAGTAAATGGTGAAGTATGGTTATATAATGTACAGAATATGTCTACACCAATTCATTGTATCTCTATTGGATCAGGTAATCATTCTATTCGTCTACTTTCATTCTCATCCACTTTACGAGCTGATCTAAATGACGTAGGCTTTATTAATAATAATAATAATAATAATACATTATGCAATTTATCAACTTCTCAAATAACCAATAAAAATTCTTACAGTACATCAATGAATAGTACTCACCTAACATGTAGTAATAGCCAAATTCGTCAACCTTTAAGCGAATTAACTAATACAATACAACAAAAACAACGGGAAAAACAGAACAGTCTAAATCACTAACAAGATGGTCAGTAATGCCGCCTGTTCTCGTGTTGTTCATCCACTGGTGATAAACATGTGACAGGTTTTTGTTGTAATATATACGATACACGCAAATTTAAATCTGGTAATCCTGCACTATACAATAATTGATCATCATTCGATGAAAATGCAATGCGTATACAACCTTCATAATAATCTTTGAATAACTTTGAATCATCAACTTTATATTTCATATCCTGTGGTGCATTGTTTGAAATGTAAACTCTAAGCTGTATTTTTCATAATTTTTACTTATCTTTGTTCTTTTGGCATTGGTTTTTTCCCTTTATTTATTTACTTTTTTGATTGTAAAAGTCTTATAAAATTTATGAGGTAATTAGATGCAATATATTGTAATGCATGCTGAAAATTCCATACCTGTACCACAAATACCGTTTGGAATAAAGCTGTTAATATTATTATTGTTATTAAACTGATTTCATTCATACTTGTAGCTAAAGATTTAACATCCCAATAATTTAAAATGTAATTGTTTGTATCACCAGTAACTGGCTATTGTATATTCCATAAGATTATAGAACCATTAGATTAACCACAGCATATGAGATGGCCATTAAATTTAGAAGTTTATAACATACAACATTTAGGTAGGGAAGTAACACAACCTTTGACCTGTGAATATTGACAAGGGAAAGGTAATACGATGTTTTCACATCGACCATTAGTACTAGTTTTATCCGAAGCTGCTAAGAATAATACAATAGAGCCATTATTATATCCAGCAGCAATAATACGATCATTTAACACCCAACTAATACACTTGGGTTGTAATTCATTAGGTAATATATTAAATGGATGTAGATTAGTATAGCGTAATTGACATCGTAGTGTTATTTGCACAATTATAAACATTTATCAAACCAGTATTAATGCCAACAGCTAGATATCTGCCTGAACTTCTAGGGAAACCGATACACGTGGCTGTACAATTTTCAGATTGTAAACTCAACGTCAGTATATCAGAAGTTGTCTTTCCATAGTCATGATTTTTGCCAAACAATAATTGTTGAAGGTAAACAGATCCACCAGATTTATCAATAACAGCTAGCTTAAATGATCGAGGATTCCACTGGATTGATTGAATCGGACTGGTTGATATTGGTTGAGGTTATACCTCCTTGTACTGCCACTTACCCCATCTTATTCGTTTTATCAGCACAATCAAGAATCTACATGTCTGAGCGACAGTTTAACACAGACATTGGTTGATTTTTTGTGATGAAAGCAGCTTGGAAGTGAGTTAGAAATTAAAGCGATCTGTGCCTTATTTACTGTCTTATAAGCTGAAGATGACTGTTTTATAGCAAATCCTGAATAATAGTGACTAATAGGATTAATTTCTAATACCGTAGAAACGCCTTAAGGTGCAACCTTACAACAATTCTCAACTAATTCTAACCTACTCGTCAATAATGCCAATTTACAGTGAATGAATATTTTATCTACATGAAATGATCACATCATGTAATGAAATAACCCTGGTCGTTCTTAAAAAAAGCCCTGGACGCTGAATCTGGGCTAAGAATGCTGAAATAAGGCTGATAAGCAGACACAGCAGGTTCCGAGCTACTTCAGAAAATGCCCAGAAGATGAACAGGGGCTAAATTAGTGCCATTCATGTTGAAAATTAGAATTAGTTGAGAAATGTTCTAAGGTTGCACCTTAAGGCGTTTCTACGGTATTAGAAATTAATCCTATTAGTCACTTTTATTCAGGATTTGCTATAAAACAGTCATCTTCAGCTTATAAGACAGTAAATAAGGCACAGATCGCTTTAATTTCTAACTCACTTCCAAGCTGCTTTCATCACAAAAAATCAACCAATGTCTGTGTTAAACTGTCGCTCAGACATGTAGATTCTTGATTGTGCTGATAAAACGAATAAGATGGGGTAAGTGGCAGTACAAGGAGGTATAACCTCAACCAATATCAACCAGTCCGATTCAATCAATCCAGTGGAATCCTCGATCATTTAAGCTAGCTGTTATTGATAAATCTGGTGGATCTGTTTACCTTCAACAATTATTGTTTGGCAAAAATCATGACTATGGAAAGACAACTTCTGATATACTGACGTTGAGTTTACAATCTGAAAATTGTACAGCCACGTGTATCGGTTTCCCTAGAAGTTCAGGCAGATATCTAGCTGTTGGCATTAATACTGGTTTGATAATTGTTTATAATTGTGGAAATAAGCAAATAACACTACGATGTCAATTACGCTATACTAATCTACATCCATTTAATATATTACCTAATGAATTACAACCCAAGTGTATTAGTTGGGTGTTAAATGATCGTATTATTGCTGCTGGATATAATAATGGCTCTATTGTATTATTCTTAGCAGCTTCGGATAAAACTAGTACTAATGGTCGATGTGAAAACATCGTATTACCTTTCCCTTGTCAATATTCACAGGTCAAAGGTTGTGTTACTTCCCTACCTAAATGTTGTATGTTATAAACTTCTAAATTTAATGGCCATCTCATATGCTGTGGTTAATCTAATGGTTCTATAATCTTATGGAATATACAATAGCCAGTTACTGGTGATACAAACAATTACATTTTAAATTATTGGGATGTTAAATCTTTAGCTACAAGTATGAATGAAATCAGTTTAATAACAATAATAATATTAACAGCTTTATTCCAAACGGTATTTGTGGTACAGGTATGGAATTTTCAGCATGCATTACAATATATTGCATCTAATTACCTCATAAATTTTATAAGACTTTTACAATCAAAAAAGTAAATAAATAAAGGGAAAAAACCAATGCCAAAAGAACAAAGATAAGTAAAAATTATGAAAAATACAGCTTAGAGTTCACATTTCAAACAATGCACCACAGGATATGAAATATAAAGTTGATGATTCAAAGTTATTCAAAGATTATTATGAAGGTTGTATACGCATTGCATTTTCATCGAATGATGATCAATTATTGTATAGTGCAGGATTACCAGATTTAAATTTGCCTGTGTGGTATATACTGTCGACATCAGGTCAACAGAAACAACAACAACAACAACAAAAACCTGTCACATGTTTATCACCAGTGGATGAACAACACGGTTATCTAAGTATTGATGTCGCTTCAAGAACGCATATTCTTGCAACTGGTTTAGTAAATGGTGAAGTATGGTTATATAATGTACAGAATATGTCTACACCAATTCATTGTATCTCTATTGGATCAGGTAATCATTCTATTCGTCTACTTTCATTCTCATCCACTTTACGAGCTGATCTAAATGACGTAGGCTTTATTAATAATAATAATAATACATTATGCAATTTATCAACTTCTCAAATAACCAATAAAAATTCTTACAGTACATCAATGAATAGTACTCACCTAACATGTAGTAATAGCCAAATTCGTCAACCTTTAAGCGAATTAACTAATACAATACAACAAAAACAACGGGAAAAACAGAACAGTCTAAATCACTAACAAGATGGTCAGTAATGCCGCCTGTTCTCGTGTTGTTCATCCACTGGTGATAAACATGTGACAGGTTTTTGTTGTAATATATACGATACACGCAAATTTAAATCTGGTAATCCTGCACTATACAATAATTGATCATCATTCGATGAAAATGCAATGCGTATACAACCTTCATAATAATCTTTGAATAACTTTGAATCATCAACTTTATATTTCATATCCTGTGGTGCATTGTTTGAAATGTAAACTCTAAGCTGTATTTTTCATAATTTTTACTTATCTTTGTTCTTTTGGCATTGGTTTTTTCCCTTTATTTATTTACTTTTTTGATTGTAAAAGTCTTATAAAATTTATGAGGTAATTAGATGCAATATATTGTAATGCATGCTGAAAATTCCATACCTGTACCACAAATACCGTTTGGAATAAAGCTGTTAATATTATTATTGTTATTAAACTGATTTCGTTCATACTTGTAGCTAAAGATTTAACATCCCAATAATTTAAAATGTAATTGTTTGTATCACCAGTAACTGGCTATTGTATATTCCATAAGATTATAGAACCATTAGATTAACCACAGCATATGAGATGGCCATTAAATTTAGAAGTTTATAACATACAACATTTAGGTAGGGAAGTAACACAACCTTTGACCTGTGAATATTGACAAGGGAAAGGTAATACGATGTTTTCACATCGACCATTAGTACTAGTTTTATCCGAAGCTGCTAAGAATAATACAATAGAGCCATTATTATATCCAGCAGCAATAATACGATCATTTAACACCCAACTAATACACTTGGGTTGTAATTCATTAGGTAATATATTAAATGGATGTAGATTAGTATAGCGTAATTGACATCGTAGTGTTATTTGCACAATTATAAACATTTATCAAACCAGTATTAATGCCAACAGCTAGATATCTGCCTGAACTTCTAGGGAAACCGATACACGTGGCTGTACAATTTTCAGATTGTAAACTCAACGTCAGTATATCAGAAGTTGTCTTTCCATAGTCATGATTTTTGCCAAACAATAATTGTTGAAGGTAAACAGATCCACCAGATTTATCAATAACAGCTAGCTTAAATGATCGAGGATTCCACTGGATTGATTGAATCGGACTGGTTGATATTGGTTGAGGTTATACCTCCTTGTACTGCCACTTACCCCATCTTATTCGTTTTATCAGCACAATCAAGAATCTACATGTCTGAGCGACAGTTTAACACAGACATTGGTTGATTTTTTGTGATGAAAGCAGCTTGGAAGTGAGTTAGAAATTAAAGCGATCTGTGCCTTATTTACTGTCTTATAAGCTGAAGATGACTGTTTTATAGCAAATCCTGAATAATAGTGACTAATAGGATTAATTTCTAATACCGTAGAAACGCCTTAAGGTGCAACCTTACAACAATTCTCAACTAATTCTAACCTACTCGTCAATAATGCCAATTTACAGTGAATGAATATTTTATCTACATGAAAT